ATATATATATATATATATATAATTCGGTATAGTTAAACGGCCTGACTGGCAAGTTTTATTAAGCATATCACAACGACGTTTCGACCACTATTTTGGGTCCTTTTCAAGTTATTTTAACAATGCTGGAATAAAAGAATGAAAGAATATATAAAAAATTACAAAATTAAAAATTAAACAACATTACGCGTTGAACAGATTCACGAGAATATCGGTAAATAGGACTTACATGGATCATTGTGCGTCAATCATATAAAATTCGTGGCGGGTCGGAAAAATACGACGGTCTCATGTGAAGGCCGAACAACTAATAATACATTATCGCAAAATACAGTAAACATAGAAGGAGAACTTAAAGTGATACATTATCGCAAAATACAGTAAACATAGAAGGAGAACTTAAAGTGAAGATATTATTCGATCATAGACCAGTGGCAGGTTTTCAGTGTCTTTCTGTGAGTTGATTGCCTCTTTGTGTTTTTTAATGAATAGCATTTCAGAAATTTCACGTTTTTTTAAATTTTGTTCTTTGTGTAAGATTGTAACATCCTGCCATTTGAAATTATGGTCGAAGTCTGTTCTATGCCTACTGACGACCGAATGTTGGTTGGGGGGTTTTTTTATATCTGCGCGATGCTCTTTTATACGCGTTTCTAAATGTCGCTTCGTTTGTCCGATATAGCATGCATTGCAATCAGAGCAGTCAAGTTTATAAACGACATCAGTGCATCTCTTGATCTCCAATTTATCCTTCCCTTATATATATGTAGGTTCGGAAGTATGTTCCGGGACTTTTATTTTTGATATCGATAAGTATATTCCGGGACATTTGGCAGTTTCCAGGACTGTCCTGGAAAAAATTCATGTCTTACGGCAATTTTCGGGACAGTTTTTTGAATCTGATTACATATATATACCTATGCGTTATATTCCAGGACTGTACATTTCAAAAAACGTAAACAGTCCCGGAACATACCTCTGGACCTACATATATATATATATATATATATATATGTGACAAAAATTATTATTAACGTCTTGACGATTAAAGTACCAAAATCAATGGTCGAATCGTCACGATGATTATTTGCCAACTATAGCCGGATGAAATAAAAAGTTTAATTGTTTGTTATATTGTTGGCAGTTTAAGAATGTACTTTAGATTCTTTTTTTATTCTTATAATTCTTTTCCGCAATACTTCGTTATGATGTATGTTGTGTCCTACCGCGTGCCGCAAGTACGCAAAAGAAAAGTGATTGGCGTAAAAAAATTATACACAGAATAAATATTAAAATAGCTTAATTATATCTAGAAAACTTTTATAAATCTTACGAAAATTTAATTAACAATCATTGGACGAAGGAAAAGTTAATTTTTATGGAATATTCATATTTAAATATATCCCTAATAAATTTTAATAATTTTAGAAAGATCTGAGAATATAAATCTCGTCTTTAAAAAATTCGTTCGCCGAACACGGTGCATTAACTTCTCATATCAGTATGACGACTTAAGAATCGCGTAGCTAAGTAATCCATTCAATCCTTTTCGAATTTAAATCTGTCTGCCATTCTCGTTGCGCATTTAAAATCTATATTTAAAAGGTTTTCCTCAAGAATGAAGTTTTAATAATTCCAGTTTATTTTTAAAACGTACGCAAAATCTTTATCTCGATAGAAAATTTAGTATAGAAAAGTAATAATCAAATATAATATAAATTTAATCTTACAAATGTTAAAATAAATTCAAGAAACTTTACAGTTATCACAAAAATCTAACAGATAATTTTTAATTTATTCTACACTCGTTTTATATTCCCAATAATATTATTTTACAATTATCCATGACTTCGCGTAAGTAACACAAAATTTGACGATACTATATAAAAAATTCAATAACTTTTATTTTGCTCATAAAAAATAGCATTGATTAGAAGATCAATTAAGTAAAGTTTTTTTTTAGAAATTTTTTGTAGGGATACGAAGAAAGCGAATAGATATAACGTTAAAAACTTTGCATGTTTTTTTAGTCTTATTATATAAGAATATATTTTTATTTTCTAAGTAAAAAAACGCTCTTCTTTTTTATGATGTTATATAAAATTTTTCATGTTGAACAAATAATAGCCATACTTCTGAATAAAAAAATCTTTGAATAAGAAAATCGTTTTTGCGTTTTAGATACCTAGAACAGCTCATATGCACCATTAAATGCGTTTTTCTTTGCAAGCTCCTAGTGACCAGGATACAACATAAAAAAGAAGAGCGTTACTTAGAAAATAAAAATATATTCTTTAAATAATTCGCTTTTTCCGTTTCCTTACAAAAAATTCATTAAAAAATACCTTTTTTACGACTTTTCAAATCAGAATACCCCCAAATAAAAAAAATAATGTTCTTCGATTTTTCAACTGAAAACGATAAAACAATCATTATGTTTACTTGTTTATATTCATATAATAACGTATGACATCGATTCCAAATTGACCGAGCAACACGTATAGTTTTTGAAAATTCTTACTTCGTGAAACTTTTGTCAAAAAATTTTCACAGTCATGGAACACACGATTTTCACATTCCTTCACAAAAATTGCTCAAATATCTGTGTGATATCCAAGGAGAAGTGCGCAATGGCTGAAACAGACGTGTAAGAAAACGCTATAGGTTATACAGCGAGGTGGCGCGCACAGCGGCAACCTCGCCTGTCATTGGTCGCGTAGATATACCGCGTACGGCTCGAGCTATGATAGGATAAGAGCGCAAGAGGGAGAGAGACACGAAAACGCGGGAACAGGCCCTGAGGCCATTAGCAATTGTAACACCGGCGAAAGCACATATTCGAAATAGAGACTGCTAAAATAAGAGTAAGCGTTATTTGTCCGAGCATCGTCCCATCAGTCGCCCATCCCGGTTCCTGACTTCACCAGGGTCTTACAGACGCTATGCGTAAAACTCACCAGCAATTCCCAGTCGGCGTCATTTACCAGAACCAGAATGCCCGGCCTCCTAAACAAACAAGATAAATTTCTCAAATCGAATTGCGCATTTCGCCGCCCTCGGGCGGCGTAGTGCATACTGCGTGTATAAAACTTAGGGTGCAAACCCATGCAGCGGAACGGCGAGAGCGTACGCAGAAAATCGCGGAATGAGAGCCTTGGCCAATCACAAGTGTTTCATGATTTTCAGTGACTTTCCGCGGTTTTTAGCGGATAGTTTTAATTTTCTTCGCGGAACAGCGCAATTCCATATGTGTATACACACACATCATAAAAATGATAAAATAAAAGTGATCAAACTGATCAAGAAATTGATAGCTGACTATCTTCGTGTCATAACTTCACCATACGGTAACCTCTATTAACAGTTGTCGGTGATATCGGTTAGGTTAGCGGTACCACATTCGCAACATCTGTTACGCGAAATCACTGACCCTAGGTCTCCATGCGGCGAAATGAGCAAAGCGTAACGACTAGTATATCTCAATTATTACTTTTTAACCATTCTATTGAGAAGTAATTATTATTATGTTCATAAATGTTGCATTTAATGAGTTTCTTGTTAAAAATATTTAACTTAATGCTTAAAATATTAAAATGAAGTTTGAACACATTTCAAATGCAGACTCGTGATTGGTTGCGCGCAATCCGCGCTGGGGCCGTATTCTGTTCCGCTAAAATCCGCTTACCGACAATTGTCGGTGTCGTTGCGCAGGTTTTACACGATATGAAAAACCTGCGCAACGACACTTATCGAACCGACAGTTGTCGGTAGGCAGGAACGGAATACGGGCCCTGCTCTCGATATGCTTCATGGGTACATAGGAATCGTGAATCCGCGTAACGAAAACAGCGGAAAGCTTGTGATTAGTCAAGGCTCTCGTTCCGCGATTTTCTGCGTACGCCGTTCCGTTGCATGGGTTTGCACCATGAAGGTTTGCACCCTACAGATCTCGCGTTAACGCGCTCTCCATCAATTACGGGAAGTTGGTAACGAACGTAAAACGAATGCGAGACGACAAGCGAACGAGATTATTCATCGTGCAAAACTTTCACTCGAAACGACAAGAATTTCAAAATAAGCGTATCGCCAGAGTCATTCAGCCGATTAGCTGATATCATTCGAATCTATAGAAACCGGCCAATCGACACGACTGCGATTTTTGCCGCCGACTTCACTATGTTCCGTCGCATACACCGTTTAAGGTTGATGGCAGAGAACGAAACGTAGATCGTGAATCATGAAAAGCAATCGTGTGGATGCGTATAGTTATTACGTATACGGTTTCTCTGCCTTGCTTTACGTCTACGATTACGATAGATGTAAGAACGTTTCGTTCTCTGCCATCAACCTAAGCGTTTTAATCCTTAATTTCGCGATTTTCTTTTCTTTTTCTTCTTACTTGTATTATTCTTAAACGTTAAATCCGCCTCACGTGCAAATTGACGTAAAGCATGTAAAGGCATCTCGACCAAATAAATAACACAAACAGCCATATTGTTTTGTGGATATTAGAATTTGTGGATATTCAAATATCGATTAAAGACGATCGATGTTTCCATCGTTAACTTACTTCATTTTGCAGGTCAAAATGTACAAAAAAGATAAAATCGAGAGAAATGTAAAGCGCTGCGTACGTGACTATTAGTGACCAATTTAGGCCCATAAAAATAACGCTCAAAAGATGATATCTCACAAATACGAGCACAAATTCAATCATTCCAATTATTATTATGCCATTGCACTAATCAGCAACAAATGGCATGCAAAACGACCATCTTAACACGCGATATCAATCCGATAAATCATACAATTCCCGCGACGTGTTTGCGAAATTGCGTTTACGACGGATGTACAATGTCGAGATTTCCTCTTCTTCCTCTACAATTGTTAAGGACAACTCATCAACACTAATTTAATTACCGAAATAAAATACGCAGGGTCGATAATGGCCGGGAAGGAACCGAGTTAAATGTTATTGTCACTGTACCTATATCGTATAAGTTCTTGCCACACAATTTTCAATCGGCTACAAAAGATACAGCTATCAAAAAAATCACTCTGTGCACAATTCCATATTTATATTTACGTTGTATGTGTCGCATATAAGGCCGCGACGTGAGACGTTTAAGGCTAGTAGTAGTATTCATACTCCGATCTTATATTTAACCCTTTGTTGCACAAATTTTTCTGTTAAACATATTTTGCTGAAATGTAGTATATAATAGTTTTTAGAGATGCTATTTACAAATTTAAAATAAAAATTTAATAAGTCAAAATGATGGGGGGGGGGGGGGAATTCAATATGGCAACCAAATTGAAAAAAATTAACTATGGCTTATTTACGTATAAAATTTTATACGTAAGCAAATCTTGCAATGTTAAATTCCGATTGTAATAAAATTTTATTTTAGAAGTAATAGATGAATTTAGAATTTACCAGTGGCAAGATCAAAACACAGAAAAATAATTACATATTTATGTTATTCATGTACACAAGCAGTCTCAGGAACATAATGATACCAATGTATAAACATGTGCGTTACACAAACCAATTATGAAATACGTAAAAACATAGAAAAACTGTGAAGAAATTTGTGTCCTTATATAAGAACACTATAAATCTCGAGACTGTACGGTCATTTCATTGGTTGGATAAAATCTTAAGACTGTCCATGACCAGACTTAAGACAATCTTGAATATGAGATCGGACTGTGAATACCCGTCTAAATTTCAACTCGAGAAACAACAATCGCGCTCCTCGCGACACGTTTCTCCACGGTGCTTCCCGCCATCGCTGTCGTTGCCAGTGTACGAGCTTCTAAATGATAATTACTGCATTCAGCAGAAAAAGCAGCTCAGTAAGCGCTTAGTGATTCTTTATTATTATTGATTTCTACGTTTAGATTCAGCGAAGAACTAAAGGCAAGCACCAATCACATTAAAAGATCACTGAGCGCTTACTAAACTGCTTTTGCCACTGGACGCAGCCAATAAAGTTATTACTAAAGAGTGCAAAAAATGTAGATGTAAAAATGTAAAGCATAAAATAAAGTTGCTCCGATCACATGAGTGTATAAAATTTTGTTACAATGAAAAAAAAACGTCAATATTGATTTTGTGTCCCTATGATAAAACATTGATTTTGTGAGATATCAATTTCTATTAATTCCATTAATAATGAAATTATTTGTATATTAAAATGACGAAAATAAAAAATGTAAGTGTAGATAAAGTGTAAGATATAAAATAAGATCGCTATAATGGAATTGATTTCTTCAAATAAGAGTTTGGACTTCGCCATTTTCAGATTAACTATGACTTTTGAAAAATATTCAAATTAGTTTAGCACCTATCTACGTAATTTATTGATATAAAAATGAGTTTAATTCAACAGTTCATATGTATAAATGTATAAATTAGTATATAATATTATCTATTATAAACAATATAATTTATTATATATATACACTGCTCAAAAAAATTAGGGGATTATTTTTTGTCAGTAAATTTTTGCCCATTTTTAAACTGTAATTAATTACTTAGCGAATAATTAACAAAAAAAAAGTTTTTAAAAAGATTTTACACTGCAAACTCTCTACTATAAAGTGATTTTGTTCAATTTTCACTCAGGTTTTAATACTCAAAAGCGTGGTCAGCTTTGAAATAAGGACGTATTTGAGATATCTAAAATCTTGAAATTTGCAGTTTTCCACTGCCTAACAACAAAATTGGCGAACATAATTATTAATATCATCTCAAAGTACGGACTTTGCCCTTTCAAATAAAAAAAAAATTGTCCTACGCCTATTATTTAGCGAGATATCGCAATTTAAAGTAACCCCTGTTTTTTTATGATTTCAGCACAATATCGCCATTTGCGTAATTTGATGTGCACCACGGGAAGGTTGCTCGGTTGGATTTTGCACATCATGTATGTGTATGTGTATGTGTATGGAGTGTACATATGTATGTGTGTGCATGTAGAGGTTTTTTTTTAGTAAGAAGTGTTGTCACTCTTCGCCGTATTACCTCGCGCAATCTTGATCTCATATTGACGCATTTCTTTTACATCAGTTTGAGTTTTATTCAAAATTTGACGCAGTGCCTCTTCAATTCGATGTAAAAAAATGCATCAATATGAGATCAAGATTGCGCGAGACGCGTGATATGGCGAAAAAATGGCAACACTTCTTACTAAAAAAAAACCGCTACATGTACACACATACACTCCATATTATACACATACAAACATGATATGCAAAATTTGACTGAGTAACATACCCGTGGTGCACATCAAATTACGCAAATGGCGATATTTTGTGCTGAAATCGTAAAAAAACAGGGGTTACTTTAAATTGCGATATCTCGCTAAATAATCGACGTAGGACACATTTTTTTTTTTTTCATTTGAAAGAGCAAAGTCCGTACTTTGAGATGATATTTAATGATTATGTTCGCCAATTTTGTTGTTAGGCAGTGGAAAACTGCAAATTTCAAGATTTTGGATATCTCAAATACGTTCTTATTCAAAGCGGACCACGCCTTTGAGTATTAACCTGAGTAAAAATAGAATAAAAGCACCTTATAGTAGAGAGTTTGCCCTGTTAAACCTTTTTTTAAACTTTTTTTTACTTCAATTATTCGCTGAGTAATTACAGTTTAAAAATGGGCAAAAATTTACTGACAAAAAGTGATCTCCTAATTTTTTTGAGTAGTGTATATACACACACACACACGCACGCACGCACACGATAATAGTAAAATACAAATTTGTTCATAGTTAGCCTGAAACATGGACGGATCAATCAAAAATTGTCTAAACAGTGTCAAAATTTTTACTTGAGAAATTCTAGACCGAATTAGAGTAAAATGTTTGAACACTGTCGACCATTTTTAAATTAACTATAATGCACTTTTCAAATACGTTCAAATAAGTTGATTATTTATGTAGTTTATTTATATAAAAAATGAATTTATGAATGTATTATTGTTCATATGTAATATA